GGCACTCTTTGGGCCCCTTGGTACCAATTGAGCATCGTTGCAACGCCACAGCCTACCTGAGTATTGTTGCTGACCATGTCCATCCCTTTATGACCACAAAACCGTTACTAGCATGGTGTACCTAATAAAGTGGCCGGTGAGTGTATATCTGTTAAGGTCATACCTACTTAGGAATAACATATTTTATATTAACGTCTTTTTTTAACCCTAAGATTTCATATTTTATACTAATTTAGTCGTGGCGTCCACTGCAATTGACATGGAAAAATACCAATAAAAACATGAAATAACTGTTCACCCCCTTGGTTCTATACTAAATGAGAGTAAAACCTGAACTATTTTTTAAACTTAAATCAGGTCTGAAGGGGTCAAATCTGATGGGGATATGAGTTTCCAACCAGCTGCACCCCGACTGTGGAATGTATCGCCCCGATCCATACAGCTGTGATTCTATTGATGCTTTAAAAAATAAAATCTGAACTTTACAGGCTTTTAGCCAAGTTGTTGGGTTGTGTGTATCCCACCATTTTTACTTAACTTTAACAACTTTCTTTTATTGAGAAATACTGATTCATCTACAAGTTTTTATATAAACTTTACTTAAACTGTAAAGATCAGCACTGTCAGGTGGTATTTATGTACCAGCTGGATTCTGGATGGAGGTAAGTCTACGTAGGTTTAATACATTCAGTATATTTTAGAAAAAGGAGCAGTTAAGTTTGGAAATGTTTGTTTTTTAATGGAAAATACTGAAGTGAATTAAATTCCAGAATCCTGTACGTTTCGTGTTTTTTGACTGTAGTCAGCTGGTTGTACAAATGAAGACAGCAGACGAGCTGACGACCATAAAATGGGCCTTTTTATTAGTAATAATGTACAGAGGCGGCCTAACGGTAGCGGTGCAGCTGCAGGGTGTTGCGCCTCTTCCAGGCGGCGCGGCGGGAGCCTCCGATGGTCATGTGGAACTTGTGGCCCTTGCCCAGGCCGCGGCTCTTCTTGCCTGCAGACGTCAGGCCGCGCATCTCTCTGTGCTTGTGCACAGCTCTTGTGATCCACTGGGTGTCTGGGTTGCGTCTGATGGCCTTGTGGAAAGTATCCACCAGAATCACCTCGAAATACTTGTAGGTGGAGTCCTCCCCCACCCAGTAGGAGTTGAGAACTCGCAGGGCTCCACAGTGACGGCCAGCACGCTCCTGAGGGAAAAATAAATAAAATGTTACTTCACTGAGCTGTCAGAGGTTACATTAGCCAACAGGTTTCATAAGAGCAGAGTTGTAAAGTAACTAAGTACAAATACTTCTTTACTGTACTTAAGTAGAATTTTTGGGTATCTGTACTTTACTTGAGTAATTATTTTTCAGCCTACTTTTTACTTCTACTTCTTACATTTTTACACAGTTATCTGTACTTTCTACGTACTTACCAGTACTACATTTTTAAAAAAGGTAAGAAGTAGAAAGTTGTTACTCCTATTTCATTACAGCT